GCACACCGGCGAGCGGCCCTTCCCGTGCACCGAGTGTGAAAAGCGCTTCACGGAGCGCTCCAAGCTCATCGACCACTACCGGACGCACACGGGCGTGCGGCCCTTTGCCTGCACGGTCTGTGGCAAGAGCTTCATCCGCAAGGACCACCTGCGCAAGCACCAGCGCAACCACGCGGCTGGCGCCAAGGGGCCGGCCCGAGGGCAGCCGCTCCCGCCGCTGCCGGCCGCGCCCCCGGACCCCTTCAAGAGCCCTGGCTCCAAGGGGCCTGGAGCCAGCACAGAGCTGGTGACAGACTGGACCTGTGGCCTCAGCGTCCTGGGGCCCACCGATGGCGGTAACCTGTGAAGGCCACCGAGGCAGCCGCCGGGGCTCCCCTGGCGCACAAGCTTGCAGGCAGCTCCGGGCATCGGAAGGCCCCAAAGCAGAGAGGCGGAGCCGGAGGCCGGAGAGCAGGTTGAGACGCTGCTGACCCCGCTCGTCACGTCACCGGGGCAAGGGAAACCGTCCAGCGACAGCTTCCACCTGTGACCAGAGCTCTGTGGTTGTGAAACTGAGCACTGTAGGATTTCAGTAATTTAATGAAGAACCTTTTATTTTTCAATTCTTGAGGAAAAGGCTGGAAAATAGTAGTAGCGGCAGTTTAAATTTTGCAGCATACTTTGGGTTTTCAGAGCATGTGTTTGTGTCCACTGGGTCCTCACCAAGGCTGGCAGTGAGTGAAGGGTTGGGGGTTGCTAGTAGGTGACTCCCCAGAATAGGATGTGACACCATGGGGTGGGGGTTGGTGCTGGGCCAGGCCCGAGGCTCCAAGCCCCTGGAAGGGCAGCTGGGCCAGTGAAACCCCAGCCTCGTCCCGGCGGGAGAAAGACGTCCCTGGAGTAGCTGGCCCATCTCCCAGCTTCCCTCTCCATCTGAAAAGGCCAGTCCTGTTTGTGTTCCCCGTTGCAGCTGTCTGCAGTTCCCACCAGAGGAGGCCATGTCACCCTGTTACCTAACTCCCGGTCCTCCTGAGGAGTGTTCTGAAAGCATGAGGTCAGGTCTGGAGAGCAGACTGGGGCTGGAAGCGTGGGTCCTTTCAGAGCCTCGATGGAGCAGCCCGCTGCCTGCACGAGGGTGCCCTCCGCTCCAGCAGGGGGCGCTGCTTGCCCCTCTCTGCAGTGTGTTTGGTTAGGAAATGCTTCATCTCGCTGTGGTCCTTACCCGGACTTCGTGCAGCAGGCAGGGCAGATGTGATTTCTTTCTGGACACCAGAGAGTAGATCCCTCCGAGGACAGAGATCCTCACTGGGTGCAGGCGGTACACCAAGAGCCAGAGAGCCCGTTGTCCTGCCCCATCAGCTTGGGGGAGAAGAGGCTACTGTTGGCCTTTGCCCCACACCTGCACAGGTGAGGCTGGCAGGCCCCCCCCCAGGTGTGTGCATGAGCTTGTGCTCCTGTGGAGGGCACTTGGGAGGCAAAGCCTGAGAAGCTAGGGAAGGCTTAGTAGCCTGCTCATTCCCTGTGTCTGACATCTTCAAGGTGGAAGTAGAAGTGGACCCAGGTCACTTGATTCTACCCCAGTGCAGTCTCGATCACGTGAACATCCATTCTCATTTTGCCGATGCAGCCACTGGATCTCTAACCCAGTATGGGAATCTTGTTTCCCCTGCGGGGAGAGACCAGGAATTTCATTCATTCAGCAACCTCGTGTGTACTTTTATTAGGCAATAGACTAGTTAAGAAATGGTTTCTACGTACTGTATATTTTGTACCTGTTTACACTCTAATATTGATATAACTGATATTTTGAAAAACAGATGAACAGAAGACACCTGTTAAAATAAAATCTAACAGCACCAAGGTGGTTTGGTGGCTTCCGTTCTTAGAGCCCTCCCTCTTTGGTGCTGGTGCTTCCAGCCACACCCTCGTGGGGCTGCCTGGTCCGTTTCCGACGCCATGCTTCCGTACTTGGTTCCCTTGGACCCAGACGGGCAGCTGCCTTGAGAACCTGAAATGGAAGAATCCCAGAGAAGTTTGACTTGGTGGGGATAAACTGAAACTTGGAAAGTCAAAACATGTCAGGCCATTTTGTTTCAGAATATAAATATTCTTTCTGTAATTTACATGATTTTGTATGGTGGCCACAAGGACAGGGAAGTCTAGGAGGAAAATTGCAAAATGTCAGAAAGAACATTGGGCATCATATGGTTTCTCCTTGCACCTTTTCTGACTGGGGCAGGAGGTGATGGAAGGGTTGAGGGTGGTTGTAGTTGAGACACCCGCTCCAGGACCCGAGTCCATCAGATGTCTGAGTGGTAGAAGTGAACCGGACACTGGATGGCTCCTGGGTCTCTGCTCTGGACCCCTGACTTGCTCACTGCGTGACTGGGATTAAGCCACCACTTCAGATCCGCTGTTCTAATGTGCACAAGGGGGGTATTGCGTTCTGTGATCCGAAAGCCCCTTCTCGTTCTGCAGCTCTGAAAGCCTGCTCCTGGGAGACAGCAACCAGACATTTCAGGAAGGACACATGTGTCTGGCTCTGGAGAATGGCCAGGAATGTGACTGGTTGGTGCCTTGCATCTAGATTTAAAACAAAGAAGGGCTGGAGAAATGTATTTTGGAAAAAGGTAGGTGAGATGCCTTTTGTGCACTTGAGAGCCCTCATACCTTATCAGCCTGGAGTATGGCAGTCCCGTGAACTGGTCTCCCAACTCAGAACATCTAGTTGAGCCTCTCTCCAGCCTCCTTTCCTCACAGCTGCTAGAATTACTGCTGCAAAACATAAGTCCAGTCTTGTTCTCTGCCTCATAGACAAGTCACTCATTGTCCCAGCTGCTCTGCAGCCCCACCCTCTGCTACTGCCCCCTTCGGCTGGGAAACTGCTCTCAGAGGTTAGCACCTCTGCACAGGAACCCATCTGCTGCGCCGCCTGAGGGCGCTCTTCGCACAGCACTCAGGCCGCTCTTTAGTGTGCATCTAACCCCCTGGGCTGTAGTCACTGCTGCTGTGAGTGAGCCAGCTTGACTTCAGCAGCTGCAGGGCAGAGGACGCTCCTGGTGGCCTAGCCCCTACCTTTGACAGGACTTTGGAGGCCTGCAGAAATTACTGGTGGTGTTGTCTGGCTAGTAGATCAAAGAGAGAAATGGCCAAAGAAGGGCAGGTGGCCATGCTAAAGAAAGCCGTTCTCGCTCCCTCTCGGGTTCAGAAAGCTGAATCCCTGGGGTGCAGATGTGAGGAACCACAGCGGCCCCTGAGGGGCCAGTGAGAACTCCGGGCCTTCACATGATTAGATTTGGTAACCGGTTTTCTCATTTAAAAAAAAATACCAGTTGGAAAGGCCATGGAGCTTGGAGGGTTGGGCACCTACTCACTCACTTTCTGAGCACTGGCAGAGAACAGGCAGACTTGGTCTTTACTTCCTATGAAGCTCCTAAAAGGCAACTGGGCAGTCAGGTGTTGGCTGTGTGTTTTTAAATTGTGTTTAAAATTTTTGAAACCGTTTTCAATGTAAAACATAAAGAAAAATCCATCTATTCAAATATTTATGTAATACTTACTATATGCCAGACTAATATCCCTATTCCCACTAGTCACATTTAACAATTGTTAATGTTCCATCTCATGTTTTCAGTCTTTTTGGTCATAGTCTTTTTAAGAAAATGAAAATGTAAACAAAATTAGTGTGAATGTTTGCCCTTGTGAGCACAGGCGAGGGCCGATGGGAGGAGCAGGAGTGAGAGCTCATGCAGTCCCAGCGTGGCTTTGACCGAAGGTGGGCTGATGATGTCGTTCCCCTTCTCCCACCTAGACCTCTCTCCCAAGCTCCTTGTCTGTGTGTCCAGTTAGGTGTGTCTCCAGCACTTGGTAATGCCGTACGTAGCATCTGTACAGCATACGGTCCCCTCCCTCACAGCCACGCTTCTTCCTCTCATTCTCTCTGAGCCACATGCAGGATGTTTGTGTATCATAGCCAGAAGCCCGGACCAAATGGATGACTCCTGGGTTTCTGGCCTGGTTCTGCCCAATCCTGCTCCTCCCCTGTCCAAGAGAGAGGACATAGGAGGAGCAGGGTTGGGCAGGGGGTGGAAGGGCTGAGTTCAGATGCCCAGAAAGAGGTGTCCGATCAGAAGTTAGACCCAATAAGCACCGTAGAAAGGTGGGGCCGCCTCTAAAATCCGTTTGGTTCAATTCTGACACCAACTGCTGTATCAGTTCTTCCTGACCCTAACTATCCAGAGGTGGTGCCAAACTTTATGTGTGGAGGGCGCAGTCCTCCAGACCCCCAAGGCTGCCCAAGACTTAAGACACTGGATGCAAGCTTGAGAATTCCCAGGCCACCCACTTCTGATCAAATCCACCTTACCAAACCTGCTGCCACTGAGTCAGTTCTGATGAACGGTAGAGTGTTATTTAAATTCTATTTTAAAAGAAGGGCATAGGTACTAATTCTGACCCAGTGACCTTATAGGATGGAGTAGAATTGCTCCACAGGGTCCCAAGGCTGTAAGTCTACGGAAGCAAACTGCCACGTCTTTCTCCCGTGGAGTGGCTGGTGGGTTCAAACCTCAGACCTTTTGGCAACTGAGCACTTTAACTACTGTATCAGCAAGTCTCCTACGTTATAACTGGCTACAGATTGGAATTTCTCACTACCCCTCAGGTTCTATAATTTGCTAGAATGACTCAGAACTTGGGCAAGTGCTATATTTATTATAGTTTTACTGTTGTGGAAAGACAAGAGACACATGGGTGAGGTGTGGGAGGGTCCCCAGTGAAGCTACTGTGTCCCACAGGATGTGTTACTCTCTTGGTGCGTTGGTGTCTGTCACTAACCACGAAGCTGATCTGCGCCTCGGTGCCCAGATTTTCTGGTGTGGTTTCATTACATAGGTGTGATTGATTAATTCATTGGCCGCATCATTAAACTCAATTTCCAGACCCTATGAGTCGGGGCTGACTCGACTAACAACAACAACAACAACATCCTCCCCAGAGGTTGGGCTGGTATCACATGGTGGGTCTTTCTGGTGTGGCCAGCCCCTGTCCCGAGTCATTCAGTCACCCAGGAAATTCCAAGAGTTTTGAGATTACCTCCCAGAAGTTGGAGACAAAGGCCAAATTCTTGGGCTAAAGTTAATTGTTGCACATCACACACCACTGTCCATAAACTTCCTGGGAAACTTAACGCTACCATTTCTTGAAATGTCTTACTCTGGCAAAACCACTGGCCTTAACTCAAAAGCTGAGGCATTTCCTGGAAGAATTAACAACTGGAGGCTGTCAGTTTACTGCTCTCTTTGCAGCTGAATGGTAACTTCTTGAATGGAGATTTGAGTAGCATTAACTCCTCAGCTGCCACAGATG